GCCCCTGCTTGTTGCAGGGAGCTCTTGTAGACCGTGCTGATGTGAACATGAGGGACGTGACAGTGTGTGGTGGGTCTCTTGCTCTCTGCCACTGTTGCTGGAGCACAGACTAAGCTGGCAAAGTCTTTCTTCAGGGGTGGCTTTTGGAATGTCCTCTTCTGAGCGTCTGACCAGCTAACCAGAACCACTCCCTGAGCTCAGGTAGCTGGAGGGGTTTAGGTGCCGGGCAGCCGTGTGCTCCTCTGCTGCTCCAGCTGCTGATGGGTGCTGGTGGAGCAGAAATCTCCGGTGGGATCTCCTGCCCAGATCCAAAACACCTTTCCCTAGTTGCTCCCTACACAACATGGCCCTCAGCAGAGCTCCCCTGTCTTTCTCTTCGTTTCATTTGGACTTTGACTTCTTTTCATCTTCTTTACCCTATTCTCCGCTTGATTTGTGACCGGGCTGGCTGCTGCCAAACTCCATTGTGTGGCACAGGGCTCTCGGAGCGGTGCGGCCTGGATCAGGCTATCTTTGTGTCACAGGCAGCTTCTTTCTTTTTCTCTCTTTATTTTCAGAACAATGAACTTAATACCAATTAAACTTTCTGGTATTTCATGTGAACTGAAGTATGGAATTCATTCTATTTCTGCATGAAATGATGGAATCATTTTAAAATGCTGTCTATTCCTCCTTTGGGACATTCAGTACCTAGAAATACACTTGGAAATAAAATACATTTACTGCAACTGTTATTTATCAATCTCCTTTGGCTGACATCCAAATAAAAATTTCTTAATAATGAAGCCAAGTGTGGGTGTGGAAAGGTGGCTTTATAGCAAGGGTTCTGTCAGAGGAGGTGGATAGAACAACTAACATAATTCAAATTATACTTGCAAGAATCTTGTTGTTTTCTATCAGCCAATGTATGGAAAACTGGAGAGGGGAGGCTGGGTGATGATGCCAGCTGAGGTCTAACGAGGTGCAGGTACTGCCTGGCAGCTCCCCACAGCTCAGCCCCCCAGGGAACCCCAGCCGTTGGGGTCAGGTATCCTCATCTTCCTCAACAGTGCCAGGACAGACTATGTAGGAGCCGGTGTCACTTTCTACTGACAGAGATAGCTGCTGGAAGGCTGTTTGCTGTAGCAAAAAGCAGGATTGGTTTGGGCAATCCGAGCCCCCGCGGCGTTGCACCGGGAGGCTGCTGGAAAGGGCTCGTCGCACTCTCAGCTCTCATCACGTTTCCGCCAGAGATATCTTTAAAAATTTCCAGTTTGGCTTTCTATTTATATAGAAACCAAAGTCCCCAACCTGTTGTCTTCATCCCCAGCTGGGTCTCTAAGCAAAGTGGTTTTTACACCCGCTGAACAGAACGGGCTGGTAAGTGTTCAGTAATACTCAGCCCTGGCTTTCAGCTTCCTCCGCAGCGCTGGGGGGTCACAGCCAATGGCCCTTCCCAGCTGGGTGGCAGACACAGCAATAGCCTTGGAAATACTAGATTTAGTGTTCAGAGAAAAAATGTGTCTCTCTGCTTGGATTTTCAAGTTTCTCTTTATCATTAAAAAAAACCAACCCAACCAAAAGCTCTCCACATCTCCGCTCGCTCTCAGGTTGTTAGGGAGAGCAGAGGGGGAGCATTGCTATGTGATTTGCATTGAAATAAATGCCATGCATTTAATTACTTTAAAATCTTTTCTCTTGAGGATAATTTTGGTGTGGCACAGATAGTGGTAACAGCTCACCTATCTTAGTGGTGATGAATACCAACTCTGTTCTGCAGATGCAAATATTACGTTCAGACTTGCATATCATTAAGACGACTATTTGGTGATAATGATAAGGTTATCTAAAACATGAACATATTTCTCAACGTGTTCCCTGCCATTTTCTGAAGTCTTTAATATCAACAGGCTGGATTCCCACCCTGATGTGTTTCTATGCTGGTAGGTATTTACTTTTATTTAACATTTACTTAGTGCTGCTCTGTTTTGTTTTCCCAGGGAAAGCATATATTTGAACATCCTAACAAACCCTCTCTTGCTAGTCCTGGCTGCAGTCTGGACTCCAAGAATTTGAGGAAGCACCCAGGCCGCTTTTTCCAGCTAAAGGCTGGGGATTTAAGATCTCTGGATTGAGATTTGTGCTTTACTGTTTTACACAGAATCACTCATACAGTTGGTTCCTTCCTACGTACAGGATGTAGAGTGGACAGTAATTCCATGCCTTGCTTTCTATTGTCCTTTGGTGTGTGATGGGAGAAAGATACTTTTGTTTTTAAAATACATTTTTAATGTAAATGGACCTCTGGAAAAGTATTGAAAGGAGGGGAAGACAGGGAAAGCAGCAGAGGCTTCTGTGGGGTGAAGAGACAAGGCAGGGGAAGCAGAGCGTGCAGAACAGCAGAGACAAGTGGCAGCTGTCATTTGTCACTGTCTCCTGTGAAGGTAATTCAGGTAGTTCCTCCTCCCCATTCCCACCCATTCGGACAGGCAGTCAGCTTTATTTTAATTTATAACAGGATTTTGCCCATAATCAGCTTGTCAAAAGCCCTGCAGAGTTCCTGTCTCAAGTTGTTCAAACTTTGACTGTCGACTGTCTTTGACTTCATCTGTAGAGGTTCTCGATATTAAACTGCCCCAGCAAACGAGTCCCTGAGATAAAGTGTTTAATTCTCAAGTCTTTGGGCCATTGCAGTTGTGTGGCAGCCCAGTTCCTCCGTAACAGAGCAAGGGAGGACCTTTCCAAGGTCTGTGTTGCCCAGGCTTCTGTGGAGAAGGAGGGGGGCTGAGCTCTCCAGTAGGTCTGGGTTACAGCTACAGACAAAGAAAAGGGGTTTTCTTGTTCACTAAATCCCATGGGCTGCAGGAATGTCATTACCCGGGGAGGGAGGACTCGCAGAATCCCAAGGGTGCTGGGTATTTATAGAGCAGATGTTTCTGCATGAGATGCTCATAAGGATACATTTTTCTGATGTGTTAGTTACAACATTAAAACTGCAAAGTTTGATGTCTGGATAACTTATTCATAGCATTAATTAGCTATTAATTTGATTCTGCGGAGTTTTCATGCTTATTTATGCGTGATATAAGTGGGAATTTTTTCTTGAGGCATTAATTTTCAGTAAATTTTTCTATAGCTGAAGATATAGCAAGTTATATCAGCGAGCCACGGCCTCACTGACGCACTTTTGTAGTATCTTTTTCAATTATAACCTTATAAATGTCTACCTTAATATTAATCCTAATACAGATCAAGAAATAAGAAAGCAGGGTACAAAATACTGTGATGCTGTTGATAACCAAAGGAGTAAAACAAAAGTGCTACGGGTGTGGTAGCACAAGTGGACAACAGAAAAATCTCTTATGAATGGACCATGGGGCAAGAAAGATGTGAAGGATTGGTTTTGGCAAAAATTGATTTATTTTTTTGAAGTCTGCAAGTGTTCCTTATGTATTTCAGCTCTCTCTTTCTAAGACTTAATGAGGGAATAAGTAATGTGATCCACAGCTCCAGATAAGACCCATTTTTAGTGCATTTCTGTCACCCTCAAGCTTAACAAGTACCGTTCCACTTTACTAGATGTGCTTGGAGGTGGAGCTGCTGTCGTTTATTGTTATAACTCCTGAAAGGTATCACAGAGAATTGGAATTTTAATTTCAGTTTCATAAAGACTTTACATTAAAATTCACGTTTGGGCTTTTGGTACGAGAGGATTAATACAACTGGAGATGGAAAAACAGCGTGTAGAATTTTCTCCTCCATATATCCTCTGGAACCATATTTTAATATCCACTTTACCTGCCTTGTACCAGCCACTGCCAGAGGTGAGGCTGTGTGTTAGGAATTGGGGGAAGGATTCATTTATCAGTGCATTTCATTTATGTTCTTAATTGAAATTTAATGTGCTGTTACAGCAACCGGCTCACAATTAAGTGTCTTCAGATTTTGAGAGGTCTCTGAGAAATTGTGGGGTTTTTCCTCATCATCCAATTAACACCCCTGCCTGCCTGGATGGTGGAGGGACATGGGAGGGGACCATGATTGATTTGTTAATTACTGGGAAATGAGAAGTCCCTCTCCTTAGTTAAAAAGAAACACGGGCTGCAGGGCCTTGATAGCAGAAGGTAATGATTGTGTCCTGAGCTTTTGAGAGCTTCCCTTATACAGCTTTATGGGATTCAAACACCCTGAAAGCTGAAAGGTTGGCTGTGGTGTTGTCAAAATTAGTGCATTTCAGCTTTGAGAAAACTTTCCTTAGAGGTTCTGCCAGCGAGCACTATTAAGAATCATTTTGTCACTTCATTCACCCCCACAACATTAAAAGAAACAAAAAAAAAAAAAAAAAAAAGAAACGTCAGCTTTGAGAAAACTTTCCTTAGAGGTTCTGCCAGCGAGCACTATTAAGAATCATTTTGTCACTTCATTCACCCCCACAACATTAAAAAAAAAAAAAAAAAAAAAAAAAGAGCAGTCAAGGAGACAGATTGGAGTCACCATGTACAACTGCTGACTTTGGAGGAGACGGGGGCTAAAGACAGTGAAGAACAGTTTCGTATACAGGTTGATTAAATAAACTATAGCTTATTGTACGCTTGCTTTTAATCTTTCTCATTTTTCAATTTTTGTGACCATGAATACTGCTGAGCAGGCTTGTGATTTTACATGTTTTCCTGAAGGTGGTGAAAGTATTTTTCAGATTAAAAGTTCTGGCTTTGAAATTAAATTTCTGGTTTGCGTATTGTTTGCTCTGAAAACTCCAGTCCAGTCTAAGGTAGATCACTGGACTGGAAAGTGTGTTTGTAGGCACCTCTGACTGTTCCCCTTCTCCTTCAGACTCAGGGAGCTGCAGATGGGCATTGCCCATATTTTACTGAGATTTAATAGGTTTGTCAGGCTACTTTGCCTCCAAATTGTTCATCCCAAGGTAATGAGTTCTCAATAATTGTTGAATAAACGGGCGCACCTTCAACTTTATGGTGCAGGTCAGAGGGCTAAATGTTCTTTTCAATCTCTCCTGTTAGGAACGTGAGCTCGGATGGCGCGGAAGCGCGGAGAAGACTCCGAGAGTGCGATGGGCTGGTGGATGCCCTCCTGCACGCCCTGCAGTCTGCTGTTGGCAAGAAGGACACAGACAATAAGGTGCTGTGGGCTGCGGTGTTGCACTGGGATCTGACCTCCCTTTGCTGGTATCAGAAGGGGGGATTATTCTTGCCTCAGAAAATACAGTAATCATCGTCCTCTCTTGCTGTCACAATATTCATGGTACTGCTGGTGGGGTGTCAGCACGATGCTGCCCTGTTCCCTCGGGTGGCTGGCGAGGGGAGCAGAGGCAGGTGGTTGTGATGGGTGGGGAGAGTAGCCCCTTAGTGTTGTCAGTGACGTTATTGCTGCTGTTCACCATTACTTAATTGACGTTTATAAGTGCAGTCTGCAAATCAGAATGGAGTCCCGTTGTACTGTGCTTTGCATTATACCAGCAAAGGTGTCAGTTCCCATTCTAAAGCCTTTATTCAGCACTAGCTCCGAAGACTGTAGTGCTTAGACATTAAGATAGGCCTTCAGTCCTGCAGCACTTTTATTGTGGCTTTTTTTTTAAGGTGTGGATTTTGATTTATCTATTTTTTATCATCATCTCATCCTGTAGCACTGAAAAACGTATTTATATGTATATTGTAAGTTTAACCTGTTTAAAAAAAGAAAGAGTATACTATTCCTTTATAAAATAAATATGGCTTGTAAACTATTGTTGTTTTATTGGAGTCCCACCGTGTGATGGACTGCAGAAGGGAATTATAAAGCCTTGTCACTTAATCAGATAATTTTGAAAGTGGATTTTGTAACCACCTGGTGGTTTCCATTGCAACCTACAGGGCATTGCTGCTGTCAGACCTGACGTGCTATGGATTAGCTATTACTGCAGGACAACGTGTGTTCTCATTGAAATCCTCAGAAGGCCTAGGGTTTGACCCAGTGAAAATTTAATAAAATGGGCCTCTTGGGGGTTGTAAAGGTTAGAAGAATGAGAAAGAGGCTTGTATTAAAATAAGATCCTTATACGATCGTTCTCTGCTGTGTGTTTGATCTTCTGGTGAATTGTATTCCTTATGTAAGATCAGGTGGTATTTTTGATTAGAGAATTTTCATTTTGAATGGGTACTATTTGTGAAGCGCTTCACTTTTAGGAGAATAAAATTGGTTTTATAACAAGAACGAATCTTAATTTTAAGGGGTCTTGACTAAATCTTTGTTGAAAGTGACATTCTTTTCCCAGGGCGGGTGGGCTTTTTCTCAATTTCCCCAAACTCCTCACAGTATAATATAATGATTTGCAAATAAGAGGGTGCAATACTTACAATAACATGTATTTCTCTGTAACAGTCTGTGGAGAACTGTGTGTGCATCATGCGGAACCTTTCCTACCATGTCCACAAAGAGGTCCCTGGGGCGGATAAGTACCAAGAGCAAGATGCCAGTCAGACCACGGGCACGGGAGGCTCTCAGAAGAAGAAGAAGGATGATGCTGGTTGTTTTGGTGGAAAAAAAGCTAAAGGTATGTGTTGCCGAGAGCTCAGACCTGGAAGTGGATGTGGGGGTAGATTTTTGCTGTGTAGGCCTGCTCTTGCAAGCGTGTTCATCAGGCCGGTTTAGAGCGATGCTCTTTGTGGAGGTACGTGCTGGTGCTGTCGTGGCATGTGCTCGTCTCCCTCGTCGCGTTACTAACAGACATTTGGGAATTTCTCCCACGATTGCTGTAGCTTTGGCTTGGAGCAGGAGTGGTGCATGCTGCCAGGTGACACCCCGCTGCTGGACACGGGTGGATGTGCTCTCTCCTCTGTGCTGCTGCCTTCCTGCCCCTGCCAGCTCTGGGCTCAGTCCCCGGGCTCGGCCCCCCAGCATGTGTGGGGCCCAGCATGGCTCCATCCCCCTGCACGGCCTTCCACGCCTCCGGGCTCTCACATTTGGAAACAAACTAAAAGCCCACTCTCTCACTCACAACCAAAGCGTACAACCTCCCAGTTCTGTCACTCTTTCAGTAATTTAAATTGCAAACATGATTTTGTAGTTTTTAATTGTCAGTCACTTTTAGACCTGTTCTCTCCTCTGGGGCACAAGTGTTGCAAATGAGTTTCATTACAAGAGAGGATTAATAGTCTCAGTAACCCCCCTTCTATCTTTCCTTTAGAAAGAGACACTCAAATTATATCTGTTTTCTTTGTTGGTTTAGAGAAATGACTATTCTAGACTGAATTCAGAGATAATTAACTCTGCTTTCTCTCTGGGCTCCATTCTCCTCATTCATGTGTACTCACATCCTGGCTGACTATTTATAGCTGGCTCCAAGGAAGACTTTGGTCCCAAAGAGCTGATACAGAATTGTTTGAACTTGACAGCCTGGGTCCTGCACAGTGCTCTTCCTTTGCTCTGACCTGTACGTGTTATTTAAATGTTGTGTGTTTCCATGTGTGTTAGGGAGGTCACCACAGTGTGAACTTGCTGTTGCAGACTAGTCTGTCATCAACTGGATTGAATCTGTATTTAAAAAAAAAAAATGAAAATCGGGACTCTCTTAATTACTGGGGGAAGATGGCAGAAAGACTTTTACCTGCCTGGCCAGCCTGCTCTCCCAGTGAGTGACTCAAACTGGTGTGTGGCAGCCTTTGGGAGCCCTGGGCACAAGCTTGAGAGCAGCCCAGTCAGTGGAAACCCTTTCAGACACAGAAATGATGAGTGTGTGTTGTGGGAGGAGGGGAGCAGGCTGATGGAGAGCTGTCACCGTCCTCTGAGAGCCCTCCCAGGCGGTGGCTGTCCTTTGTCAAGCCTGTGCCCGTGTCCCCTGGGGCCAACCAATCTGTCCCTTCTGTGTCTGTCCGCCCCGAGAGGGTCTGTTCATCAGCCAGAGCCTCTGATCACCCCTTTTTGAACAAATTGGTCTCAAAAATCATCTGACACCGAGGATGAACCTGTGGATTTCAGCGTCAGTGCAGGCACCCAGCAACAGCTTGGGTTTGGCTCTGTGTCTTCAGTAGGAAATGACAATTTCCAAAATACATTCTAACATATTTTTGCCCCCTTTTTGCAGTGCCCTTTTTGCAGTGTGCTGTTCTCTAGAGGGAAGTCAACTGGTACTAACGCTGGGCTGGCAGCTGTAGTGTGTAGATCAGAAGGATAGAGGAGGACAGGCAACTGTTGTGTTTAAAAGATAAAAATCAAAACCCATTAAAAATGTGCTTTTAAAATTGTAAAGAGAAGCTTCCTTTTCTCACTATTAAATTTATGTGAATACCTGTTCTAAACCTGCCTTAATTTTCTCTGTCTAGGACTTACAAAATAGATCAATTCTCTCCCCTCTTGTTCACTTGCTCTTGCAGTGTTTCCATGTTTATTTTGTTTTATTTCATGGTCATTGATCATAGCATTTCAAACACCTCGGAAAGGGGATAGTCATCCTTCTGTCCTCTCAATGCTGTAAGCACCTTTTCATTTGATGAAAAAAGGAAGAAAACAGAGAAAGATTGTTTCTTTCAGCAGGAACAAAAGGGAGAAAGTGGAATACCTTGTTTTGGTTTGTTTTTTTAAATTGATTACATTTCTGTAGTATTCTTTTAGTACTCAGATTTTGAACCTATTCTGTGAAATTCTGCCTCTTTGTGACTGTTCCTTTTGTATTTTCTTCCTTCCTGTAAATTTTTGTTTTTCTTTTGCTGCTTTTCTGGTAATTAGAGGAGTGGTTCAATCAAGGTGAGTCTCTGCAATACTTTCTTTTCATCATCGCCATAATATGCTTTGTTCAGCTTTTCCATGCCAGGCTGAGAGCTGAGATCAAGGTCTTGTTCCTTCACCTTCCCCTCTGCTCCCCCAGTGCATCCTCCCCTTCGTGGCAGCCGCACGGAAACCCTGGAGTTGAGTGAGCGCTTTTGGTTTGGTCTTCCCACCCTGGGAACAGAAAAGACAAGGTTTTATTAATTGCTGGTGTGAATGCAGTATGAGAATTGATTTGCAGCTGGCTTGATAGCTCCATGAGAGAGGGAACACCCAAGGACAAGTGGCCTCCCCAGCCCTGTGGTGTCAGAGTGGGGCTTTGCTGGCTGGTCAGGGCAGGGGTCCCTGGGCTGCTGCATCTGTATCGCTGGCACCTGGACTTGCTGGGCAAAGCTTCCCCAAGTAAATACCTCGGGGGGTGCACCCCAAAGTTCTCACCCCAACCCAGTAAGTGACATTGCAATTGGAACACACCGGGCTGAGGCCAAGGGGCTGTTATGAACATCTCTTTCCCTTCAACTTTTTTTGTTTTTAACCAGAAGGAAGGCGTTTGGGAATTAATCCTTCAGCAAAAATGCTCCAACTGAATAGCTGTTTTGATTATCCAGCAAAGCAAAAAGACATTTGCAGAAGATCAGCAGCAACATTAGTGGTTAATAATGCTGGGTTGCACCTCAGAGTCCCCACTGGGAGTCTGACAGAGTGAAAATGCCAAAGGTCATGTTTTGGTTGTTTCTTACATAAGGAAAATTAATTCAGTGGAAGAGGGAAAGAATGTTAATCCCACTGTTTCAGAGACTGTAAACTGCTTCTTGCAGCAGTGAGTGTGGTGTCGGGCTGTTTTCCCAAACCAGGGTGCTGTGCCAGGTCCCACAGCCAGACCTGCCAGAGGCGTGCGCGGGGCTGGCTCCTCTCCCCAAAGCTGGGAGCCGTGCTCCTGATCCAACAGCATCGGCTCTGCCCTGGCACCCCTCGGGCTGGAAAACCTGGAGAGCAAGGCAGGGAGATGCGTGGAAGGGCAGAAATTGAGATGTACAAAACCAGAGTCTGAAACTTGTTTTCTGCCATTGGTGTGGGCATTTCAGCATCCTCTGCCCCAGCGCTGGCAGCTCGAGTGCCAGAGGGTGCTCAGGGTGACAGAACCACAGAGTGAAGCAGGTTTCTCACAACACCAGTCAGGCCAGGGGATGGCTGAGATTTGTAGCTGGAAGTCTCTTGAACTTGCTAAATTTGGTCACCTTTTCAGAAAATCCAAACCAATACCAAAATACCAAAACAATACTTCTGGGTCCTGTGAGTTTGGTCACCTTTTTAGAAAATCCAAACCAATACCAAAACAATACTTCTGGGTCCTGTGAAAATCAAATGGGAAAAATGCCAGCTGGGCCACAGATTGAATCCTTTGCCTTCTAGATGGATTTCTTCTGGAGTTTTCTTACAGCGTGGTCACCTTCTCTCTGGAGCAAAGCCCTGGGAAATGTAGGTGCTTCAGGTATTTCTGAACCTGGCCCTTGCTCAATTTGATTAAGCAAGTAATTTGTGGAGTTGAAATCCCCTTGGCCAGATCTCCGTGTTCTGAATTGCTTCCTTTCATAAACAGCTGGCAGCTCCTGCTCTGGGCCACCAGGGGTTTGCTGCAAGTTCTCGGAGGGCTGAGAGACAAACTAGCAAAGGCTTCAGAGAAGATGGACAGTATTTGTGTTCTGGCCCAGAAATTAGGAGAGAGGAACCGGAGAGCAGAGAGCACGGGTGGAGTGTGCTGTCTCAATGAAAGATGGGGTAGGAAACAGGCACCAGCTTTGGCATTGCCAGCTTGAAAGATGCAGCAGCCAACACTGCTCTCCTGGACAACCTCCTCCTGAAAACGTTGTGCACAGACACGTACTGCGTACGGCTTGCCAGAGAGCGCACTAAAAGACAAGAACTCTTCCTGTGCCATCTGCAGGGCTGATAGAAATACCAAACCCCAACTTTTAAATTACAGAGAGGACATCTGAAATGAGTAGTTGTGGTGAATAAGGTCTGGCTCTCCAAGGAAATGTTCTGAGGTTTAAACTAGCTAATGCCAGAGACATGAAATTTGGGGTCATGTGGAAAAACAGTTTGTCCTACTTGTAGATAAGAGGGAGTCACATTTACTGCTCTGCCTTAAGTCTGTAATCTTGCCTAAACACTGACTTCCTTCAATGCTTTTTTTACCTCCCCCTGCCCTGCTTTTTCCTGTCAGTGCTCTAAGGATCAACAAGGGTTTGCAGCCAGTAACTGGGTTCAGCTGCCATTATGAGACGCAGTGTCCTTTGGTGACACACAGCATTTTTCCTTCCTGGTGTTTGGTTCCCCAAGCAACGGGTTCCTGGTGCTTTCATGGAGTGAAAACTTGATGGAGGGTGGCAAAGGGCAGCTAATTCCTGTCCCGTCCTTTGGGAATGATACCTTTCAAAGGACCGGCGTGGTACCCGGCTGCATGGCCTTTTGGCAGCTTGGATGGGCTTTTTCCTGCTCCGCATAATGAAGCAAATTACTTCAGATGAACAGAACTTTTAGGTGCATGTTGTGCTTTGTGCAGTGCTGAAAGTTGGCTGGTGTTCGGTGTTGGCATTTCCAAACAAAAGCGTGTGATAGTTCCAAAGAAAGGGAGGGGACAGAATGCTATTATGAGGGTTTTTTTTTTTTTCCAAATATTCATATTGGTATTTAAAAGCTCTGTTTCTTCTCCATGTAGTACTGCATATGCACGTTTGTCAAGAGGGAGGTAGAATGGCCTCTGACTGTGCTGTGCAGACCCTGTACAGCTCCCTGCTGGACCCGGGCAGGGCTCGGCCTTTCCCATTGTGTGACCTATTCCCACTCAAGACTCAGACTAATTTGCACATTTACATTTCCAAGGACCATTTTCCTGTTTGCTTTTAAGCATCAGGACCGATAGAGCCCTTCTGTAAAGCCCCCTCAGCAGCCCCTGCTCAGAAGCCACCTCCAGCAGCTCCAGTTGTGGGGTTCTGAACTCATCCCACCGCACCTGCCCCCCTGCCATTGAGGTACAGGGACTAAATAACTTGATTTCCTCCTCTCAAAATAATTTGGGAAAGCTAAATTGTACCCTGCTGTCCTCAGAAGCCAGGCAAATCCCTGTGCTTCCTTCCCAACCCCTCTCTGGGCTGTCGGTGCTCCCTGATGGTGAGGTGCTTGCTGATCCCCTGGGGGAGCCAAGGGGGTGAAAATCAACCCTTCCCTCCCCAGCTGTTCACATCACCTGGAATTCCCAACCTGCCTAAAACTAAAGGCCAGGTTTTGTTCTGCTTTCTGTGAAAGATTGTATTAATTTAAAGCTGAGGTAATGGTTTGAAACTGTCTCTTAGCAAAAGTATGGAATTATTTCCGTTAGTTTCTAATAAATAGTCAAAATGGCACTTTATTGATTGAAGTGCAGTTCAAGGTGAAGTTGTTTGCTGCTGCCTGTACAATATATGAAATCTAGGTCTTCCTGCCTGATAGTCACAATGAGAACGTTGGTTTTTGCTCTGCTGCTCGCTTTCCGCTTCAGCGTAAGCTTCAGGTCAAAATTCCTCTGTGAAAATAACAAGTAAATACTGGGCTTCGAGGGAGGGTATGTTGGTTTTTGCTCTGCTGCTCGCTTTCTGCTTCAGTGTAAGCTTCAGGTCAAAATTCCTCTGTGAAAATAACAAGTAAATACTGGGCTTCGAGGGAGGGGCATAGCTTTGCCAAGAAGGGAAATGGCACAATTTTCCAAGATTTTAAGCACTCTTAAGACCCACTGAAATGCTAATACTTAGTATGTTTACGGATCAACCTGAAAGTAGCAGGGATTTGTGTCCCCGAGTTGCTCGCGCTAAACCCGCAGCGATGCTGCTGGATTGCGAGTCAGAGACGTACAAACATGGGTGCTGGTCTGCCATTTATATTCTGAGTCTGTCTCTTCTCTCATCTTGTAGATGCACATGACACTAACTCACCTGTCAGTATGCTGACAGCCTTTTCCATCTGTTGTCTTATTTTTTTGCACAGGAAAGAAGAATGGAGACTTGGACAGGAATTTTGATACACTCGATTTGCCTAAGCGGTCTGAAGCAGCAAAAGGTAATGCTAATATCTGTGCTTTTGGAAATAGTGGCCTGGGAGGTGGAGGCTCTGAAAAGGACCGGAGACATGAGCGCATCGGGCTGATCTCTCTGTTGTCTTCAGTTAATTGAAACAATAGATGTGTCAGTGCTTGTTGTTGTCTAGTATTCAATACTGGATATAACCAGCTCTTACACAGAGCTGCTGAATTGCAGAAGCCCATCTGCTTTGGCATTAGGGGACTGAGGCGAGTACATGATCTCTTCCTTTACAACTCCATTTGTGTATCTCCCACACGAGAGGCCAATGTGAGGAGCTGGGAAATGTATTCGGTGAGTGCATTTGTCACTGAGCTGCTCCCTTCCCTGGCATCTCTGTAGCTCCTCAGTTTTCCGACAAGTTGGGGAGTGACGGCAGGGAATGAGTTCGTTTTTCTGTCTTTGCTGATATCCAGCCTTCTCCTGAGTACAGCATCCTCCTGGGCTGTCAGGAGTGGAACTTGTAGTTTTCAAAATCGGGAGGTTCACAGGAAAATTTTTCTGCATTGCACTTCTGGATATCAGCTGTGGCAGAGGTGAACTCTTTCACAAACTATCTGCATTCTTCTCCTGCGTGCGTGGGACTCTTTTTAATTGGAGATTGGGAGATGATTTGGGATCTCGTCAGGCCTCTTACAGCATTGGGTGGTGTTTTGAGACTTGCACAGGTTTTCATCTGAAGTGTGTGCAATGTCACTGCAAAGATCCAGCCATTGTCATGGCAACTGCTGCGGTGCCACCCCATCAGCCCGGCAGGAAAGGCTCTCCCACTGCACCCTAATGAGCTGTGAATACCCAGAACACCTGAGTATTCCTCAGAAGGGACATGTTAAACTCTCGTGCAGCACTTGTATCATTTCAGAGAGTGTAAAGAGACAGCGAGGCTCAGTGGAGAGGTCCTGGGATGGGGATACCTCAATTAGGCTCCTTTAGTCACCGTGATCAAATAATGATCTGTGCTTTCCCCGTGTTAACTGCGGGCAGCAGCAGAAGCTGTACCCAACACCCTTGGAGATGTCCTGCTGGGCAGTTGTGGTGTCGTGGTGGTACAGGTGAGGTGCTGCGCTCACTGCAAATCATGGGCAGTGAAGCTCTCACTGATGATGTGCAAACTAATCCTAATAAATGGGTCTAATCTATTTGCAGATACCCGTTACAATGGAAGGTTTCTGGGCTATTGTGTCAGTGTGATGTCACTGGGTGTGTTATTGCACAGGGCAGAGATGCACCTCCTGGGAGGTGCGATGCCATCCCGTTCGGAGAGCTGCAGGGAATGGCTCCTCCCCAACCCTCCCGTCAGTGTCCCGGCTTCTGGGCTGGACATGGTTATGTTGCAGAGCCAGGAGATGTCTTCAGGAGGCAGAAAAAGAAAGGGATGCAAAATATAGTGAGGGCTTCAGCACTTTAACTCCTCTCTAGATGTGATTGGAACGTAGGTGCCACTAAAAGGAAAAGATGGAAATCCAGGACTTCTGCAAAGAAATTGATCTTGCTTAACTTCCTTTAAAATAAGGTAAAAATCTTTCCTGTGGCTGCGTTAATGGTAGAAGAGTTGTGGCATGTCTGATGGGAGACAGCTCGTTACCCTATTCAAATGCTAGAAATCACACACTCTTCTAAGAGATTCTGTTTGATAATTTTGAGATACCTTCATTTAATCTAAGCAGAATAGATTCTAGTCTGACTACATATTTCATCCTAGATTAGGTCAGGAGATTAATCCCACAGCATTTTGAAAGAAGCGTTTTGACATGGAAAAAGGCATGAGAAACTATTCATTGGTGTGCTAAGAGTGTACTAAATTCAGTGATGCGTTTTTCTCACTTTTTTACTAGTAGTTTCCTGCTAAGCATCTAGATTATCTGAGAGTTCCTGGATATTAAAGGTTCTAACAAGTTCTCTAGGACTTTGAATTGTTCAGTAAGATAAGAAAAATAAAATTGCAGTTTTAAAAACCTTAAAAGCTCAGGTCAGATCTATGCCGTAGAGTATAATTGGCTCTGATGAGATCAGCTCTCATCTGAAGCAGAACCTCGTTACCAAGATTGAAAAATCATGCGAGTTTTAATGATCAAAAGCACTCAGTTTGAGTGACACAGTGAAGTACTATTTCAAAAATCAACAATTATAGATTAATCTTTTTCATGTATTATTAACACCATATTAAAGTGAGTTTTCGGCTGGAATTCTTTGTGGGCAAATGGAACTGCAGTACTAGGGCTTGTGGTGGTTAACAAATCCTGGGATGTGGTGGGGTCAAGGTTCCTGTAATCGATAGTCGGCATCCACGGCGCTTCTCTGGTGGATCTAAAGGTGAGGTTTCAAGACCTCACATTATGATTTCCCACTAAAATATGTGGTTTTCTCAGCCTTTGTTCAAGACAGTTTAGGAACACATTCATATCCTGAACAGTCCCAAGGGTCTTGTGAGTTATTACCTAGTTTAAATCCTAGGTTTAGGGTTTTTTTTCTGGAATTTGTTTGTTCTGCAGAGGAATGAACGGGTGCAGGCGATTCTTTATTTCAAAGTGATGAACTAGAGTCTTCTTTTCTTCTGATTGCTCTGGGTTTTTTAATGGAAATCAGATTTTGCTGCAGCACAGCATTTGAGCAGCCCTGAAACCATTTCTAAGCCTTTAATAATTCTGTGTGCTAGGCATTCTGGCAGGGGAGAGCTTCCAGTTCAGGGTTGTTATCTGTGGTAAACTGGATAATGTCAGACGGGAGAACTTGCAGTGCTCTCAGAAGCTGTCTCATCCGATATTAAAAAATAAATATATATGCTCTGGCAGTGTCCAGAATAGTGCTGTCCTCACGAGGAAAGGCTGGAAGAGAAGCTTCTTGTTTCCTTGTTGAAAGGAGCGTATTTTTTTTTCTGACAGTCAAAGACAGGGAGGATAAATTTTGGGGGCAGTGATCAGAGGTTGCATAGAGCCATAGGAGAAGGGGACAGCACCGACAAGAAATTACGAATGCTGGTTTCTGAGCAGGAGCGGGCTCTGGGGGGAAGATGAGCATTAATCACATCTGTGTGGGGGAAAGCAGCCTCTCGGATGGCAGACCGGGCCATAAGGTTTTTCTGAAAAGAATCGGCGTTGAGATGTGTCAACCCTCTGAAGATGTTCTGAAGGTTCCAACATTTAATCCTCTTGATGTGAAGGTGTTGGATTGTCTGCCTCTGTTCAGTGGTGCTGGAACATGGGAGGAGAAAATCCAGAAGAGCAAACCAGCTTCTAACATGGAATCAGCAGATTATTCCTAATTAAATCCAGGCCTCTGTGCTGTTTGGTCTAAGCAAATCTCATGGTTTCTCGTTTCTGTGCACATACATCTCATGGCATAAAAGTAGGTGCTCTAAGGTGTTTTGGGTGTTGAAGTGCAGGTATGATTTCAGTTTCCCATTAGGGAGTTGAAAGTTCTCAGCCATAAGGAAATGTGCAGGTACATTCAGCCTGGTGGATGAGCTAACTCATCCCCTCCTTTAAATCAGTTATTAATGTGGTTATTAATTTATCTTTTCCATTTTGATTACTTAAGCTTGTTTCCATTTTCATGGGAACATAAGTTTAAGAGAGAGTAGAGCAGAAATACTGACCTGCTGCTAAAGCTGCCTGTAGTTAAACAAGTCTATTTTGTTGCAGCAGGGACCTCAGAAAAGCTGGATTTGTTTGGAAGCTCAGCTCTGTGTACACACTTTCCCTGGGCAGCAGCCTGGGTGTGTAGGGAATGAGGTTCTGGGTGAACTTGTCAGCAGGTGAATTTCTTTCTCCATTATCTGAAATCCTCAGTCACTTTCCACGTAGCCTGATGCTGATGATAGATTTTTCTATTCCAGAAGGTGAGTGTTTAAATTCACTTATAAATCTTTGTGTTACTGCTCCAGGAAATTAGACTTCCTGGCACTGTCAGAGTAATGACTTTAACTCAGTAGATTACAGAAATGCTGGCAATTTGTCTTCAGCTAAAGGCAACATGTAGTGAAGGCAGAAAGAAACTTCACTGAAGCTTTACTTTGACTTTGGGTTTGTAATTAAGATTAGCTGCTGTTCTCATTTCACTGCTGTTTTAATTTGCTTTTTTAAGTCTTTACAAGTTGACTCAAGCACTCACCTGCCCTTTCCAGCTCCCTTCAATCATTAATTTTGATTGTCGTATTGTGAGTAAATGCGTAGAACTGATTGATTAATGGTTCCATCCCCACCCCTCCTGTGCCTGTTGGTGGAAACTGAGGGACTCGGAAGGTCTCCACTGTGAGAGCAAGTAACGTGTTCTTGTATTAACATCTTTTAAGTATTTCATTCACGTTGTTGAGAATCCCTATCAGAATTATTAAGTGTCTCTTATTTCTGTTGCTTTACTAAGCAGAGTGTTCATTTTGGTCCCTTATGTTTTTCATAATTTACAAAGCAGTGAAAGGTTTCTCATCTGTCTTCCAGTGCTTTGAGTCAGAGAAAATGTATTGCCTTGAATAGGAGAATTCCCACGTGGAGCCTGCTCTTGCCAAAGTTTCTCTAGCCCATACCTCTAAATTCGCATTCTTTTTCCCAACATCTGTGAGGAATCCAGAGCAAGCACCTGTGGAATTTTCCTTTCTTGTATGAGTCAGGTATGGAGAGGCTACTCATTTAGCATGCATTTTAAATGGAGTGCAAAATTCTGTCACCAATAGTTAACTTGATAAAACTTCCTGGAAACAGAAAACATTCCAGTAGGAGTGTTGTTCTTTTTACAGAGTTTTTTTACGGCGTTTACAGACAGCACAAGTTTGCTGTAAACTCTGGGTGAGGTGAGCAGTGATGGGTGGTGGTGACTCATCTGCAGAGGAGAGAAGGTGTTTTTCTTTAACTTCTCAGCCCTAGTCCCAGCACGTACTCCAGAGGACCTGAAAGGAAACTTGCTGTAGGATTGTACCCGATTAGAAATGTTCTCCAGTTCTCGCTTGAGAAGTTTTATGTAGGCCAACAAGGCAGGAGAAGGAAT